TATATATATATATATATATATATATATATATATGTCGTACCTAGTAGCCAGAACGCACTTCTCGGCCTACTATGAAAGGCCCGATATGCCTAATAAGCCAAGTTTTCATGAATTAATTGTTTTTCGACTACCTAACCTACCTAACCTAACCTAACCTAGCTTTTTCGGCTACCTAACCAAACCTAACCAATAAAGAAAGGTTAGGTTAGGTTAGGTAGGGTTGGTTAGGTTCGGTCATATATCTACGTTAATTTTAACTCAAATAAAAAAAAATTGACCTCATACATAATGAAATGGGTAGCTTTATCATTTCATAAGAAAAAAAATAGAGAAAATATATTAATTCATGAAAACTTGGCTCATTAGGCAAATCGGGGCTAGCATAGTAGGCCGAGAAGTGCGTTCTGGCTACTAGGTACGACATATATATATATATATATATATATATATATATATATATATGTCGTACCTAGTAGCCAGAACTCACTTCTCAGCCTACTATTCAAGGCCCGATTTGCCTAATAAGCCAAGTTTTCCTGAATTAATATATTTACTATAATTTTTTTCTTATGAAATGATAAACCAACCGTTATCTCTATGTATGAGGTCAATTTTTTTTATTGGAGTTAAAATTAACGTAGCTATATGACCGAACCTAACCAACCCTACCTAACCTAACCTAACCTATATTTATAGGTAAGGTTAGGTTAGGTAGCCAAAAAAGCTAGGTTAGGTTAGGTTAGGTAGGTTAGGTAGACGAAAAAACATTAATTCATGAAAACTTGGCTTATTAGGCAAATCAGGCCTTGAATAGTAGGCTGAGAAGTGCGTTCTGGCTATTAGGTACGACATATATATATATATATATATATATATATATATATATATATATATATATATATATATATATATATATATATATATATATATATATATATATATATATATATATATATATATATATATATATATATATATATATATATATACACAGTAATGTAATGTAATATATATTACTTTGATTAAGCATCATATAGCGTGTATTAAGCATTGAATAGTTTAGTAAGGTTAAGATTTATAATTAATTGCAATGATAAAAACAAATTTGCATTTATATTCACATAAATGTGAAAACGTTTCCTGTTTGTCCAAATTAAATGCTACAACCTCTACTTTCTGGTGACCCATCACAACATTCCACCTCATAGTTACTAAGAGTACTTTCCTTTTAGGAGGCTGGGCTGTATTTTGTCCTTATTGTGAGACGTCAAAATAATCTGACGTCTAATTATATGTGACAAAATAATTTTCTTGTTACTAACTTTTCCCCTCATTATATTGCTAAATAGTTTAGTGTTGCAAAACATCATTTGGTAAGAAATAAAAGTAATGACGGCCATGGAGAGAAAAAGGCAAATGAAGAAGCGAAAATAACTATGCAGGAAAACAGGTGAGAAAGCGAAAAGAAACAAAAAACAAAACAGATAAGAACCTACCTTTCAAACATGTGTCGTTTTTTTTTTAGTAAAAGTTTACAAATCATAAAAAAAAGTTCCAGTCATAAGGGGAGATTGTGTGAGTGTTTTGTGTCAAGGGGTCGCTGGTCGAGAGGAAGACTTGAGACGTCCTAATATGCATGTGTGAGAGAGTAAGTCGGCAGCTATTAAATTTTTCCCTCTGTCCAAATCTGCATTCAGATTTCGTCCACTAAATCTCTTAATGGGTTTTCGTTGAATTCTGGTCAGGTGAAAGTGTGAACAAGTTCTGACGTCAGAGAGTTGGTGATGGAGTGTCACTACTGTTCAAAACTCTGTCTCTCTCCCTCTCTTTTCTCTATCTTTTTTTCTATCTTTCTCTCCATCTATCTCAGTTACTATCTCCTCTCTCTATCATTGTCTCTTTAGATTAGAGGCTAAAGTTAGTGTTTATTTGGAAAGACTTTGATGTTTCTATTGAACCTTCAAACTAGCAGTTGTTATCGCTCATCAACTTAATCATAAGCCTAGACATGGAAATTAATTTCTTTCATGAATTAATTTATTATATACAATAGAATTTATTAAATTTAATTCTCAACTACCAGTAAGGAACGAGATGAACCAAGAGCCTACTGTATATCAGATCCTGATATACATCGGTTGATGTATATATGTATGTGGTGTGCAAACATATCCTAGAGGCGAGTCAGCCTATGAAGGAAAACTCGCTGATGAGATGATGATCTTCTTGAGAATGACACGGCCAGCTGGTGACGGCTGAGCGCCTTGTGTTATGGGTGCCAGCTGGTGACGGATGATCGCCTTGTGTTATGGGTGCCAGCTGGTGACGGATGATCGCCTTGTGTTATGGGTGCCAGCTGGTGACGGATGATCGCCTTGTGTTATGGGTGCCAGCTGGTGACGGCTGAGCGCCTTGTGTTATGGGTGCCAGCTGGTGACGGCTGAGCGCCTTGTGTTATGGGTGCCAGCTGGTGACGGATGATCGCCTTGTGTTATGGGTGCCAGCTGGTGACGCCTGAGCGCCTTGTGTTATGGGTGCCAGCTGGTGACGGATGATCGCCTTGTGTTATGGGTGCCAGCTGGTGACGGCTGAGCACCTTGTGTTATGGGTGCCACCTGGTGACGGCTGAGCACCTTGTGTTATGGGTGCCAGCTGGTGACGGCTGAGCGCCTTGTGTTATGGGTGCCAGCTGGTGACGGATGATCGCCTTGTGTTATGGGTGCCAGCTGGTGACGGATGATCGCCTTGTGTTATGGGTGCCAGCTGGTGACGGATGATCGCCTTGTGTTATGGGTGCCAGCTGGTGACGGATGATCGCCTTGTGTTATGGGTGCCAGCTGGTGACGGCTGAGCGCCTTGTGTTATGGGTGCCAGCTGGTGACGGCTGAGCGCCTTGTGTTATGGGTGCCAGCTGGTGACGGATGATCGCCTTGTGTTATGGGTGCCAGCTGGTGACGCCTGAGCGCCTTGTGTTATGGGTGCCAGCTGGTGACGGATGATCGCCTTGTGTTATGGGTGCCAGCTGGTGACGGCTGAGCACCTTGTGTTATGGGTGCCACCTGGTGACGGCTGAGCACCTTGTGTTATGGGTGCCAGCTGGTGACGGCTGAGCGCCTTGTGTTATGGGTGCCAGCTGGTGACGGATGATCGCCTTGTGTTATGGGTGCCAGCTGGTGACGGATGATCGCCTTGTGTTATGGGTGCCAGCTGGTGACGGATGATCGCCTTGTGTTATGGGTGCCAGCTGGTGACGGCTGAGCACCTTGTGTTATGGGTGCCAGCTGGTGACGGATGATCGCCTTGTGTTATGGGTGCCAGCTGGTGACGGATGATCGCCTTGTGTTATGGGTGCCAGCTGGTGACGGCTGAGCACCTTGTGTTATGGGTGCCAGCTGGTGACGGCTGAGCACCTTGTGTTATGGGTGCCAGCTGGTGACGATCTAATGATCTCTCTCTCTCTCTCTCTCTCTCTCTCTCAACAGTTTTATAATCAATTTTACTCCGTATGATTCCCTTATTTTATGCAGTTTTATCTCTCATTTCAGCCACTAATTACCGTACCTCAGTGGTTCCCATAGATGAACATCGCATACCGCAGCTAACATGTTAAAATCCCGAGGCCCAATTTCAATGAAAATTGTGATGCAGCAGATTCTTGTTAATTGCATACCTAATGTACCTCCTGGCTATATGGATGTTACTAGTAGAAGCAATTATGCACAACTTGTATGCAGATTTTACATAAGAAATGTAGTACTCAATTACATGTAATTATCAGGTAGGCGACTACATGTAATGCATTGTATATGTATGTGATAATTGCAACTTCTGGCTGCCTGCATATGTTAGGTACTCGGGCTGGGCAATTATAGAGAATATATTTGCAATTATGGTGCAGTGAATAGTTTTTTTGTGTGTGTTGCTGAATGTTTGGCTCCAGGGCTACCAAGACGTATTGAATTCAGCTGGGTCACCAGTCGCTCGGGTCACCAGTAAGTGAACTCTGCACCAGTTTGACTGTCTCTCACTGGGTCACCAGTAAGTGAGCACTGCACCAGTTTGACTGTCTCTCACTGGGTCATCAGTAAGTGAGCACTGCACCAGTTTGACTGTCTCTCACTGGGTCACCAGTAAGTGAGCACTGCACCAGTTTGACTGTCTCTCACTGGGTCATCAGTATGTGAACACTGCACCAGTTTGACTGTCTCTCACTGGGTCACCAGTAAGTGAGCACTGCACCAGTTTGACTGTCTCTCACTGGGTCATCAGTATGTGAACACTGCACCAGTTTGGCTGTCTCTCACTGGGTCACCAGTAAGTGAGCACTGCACCAGTTTGACTGTCTCTCACTGGGTCACCAGTAAGTGAGCACTGCACCAGTTCGACTGTCTCTCACTGGGTCATCAGTAAGTGAGCACTGCACCAGTTTGACTGTCTCTCACTGGATCACCAGTAAGTGAACACTGCACCAGTTTGACTGTCTCTCACTGGGTCACCAGTAAGTGAGCACTGCACCAGTTCGACTGTCTCTCACTGGGTCATCAGTAAGTGAGCACTGCACCAGTTTGACTGTCTCTCACTGGATCACCAGTAAGTGAACACTGCACCAGTTTGACTGTCTCTCACTGGGTCATCAGTAAGTGAGCACTGCACCAGCATAACTACTTGTGTAGAAAATAGTTACGAAAAGTGCTTTAGAAAACAATATTCAAACTGTTAATGTTTATTAAGATAATCGGTATAAGTAAATATGAAAAACTAGATCAAGATGCTAATCTTAAAAGGATGTAATTACTGATTTGCTAACACCTGTCCTGGTAACTACTTACTTCCCCAGGTACTGGTGATGTGTCCTAGTGACCACTTCCCAGATGTTGGCATGTCTCTGTGTCCTGGTAACTACTTGCCAGGAACTGGTGACGCGTAATTTAAACCTCATTATAAATCGTCCTACAAAATGCATCGAGATAAATCATTCACGATTACTACCCTTTTAATCTTCAATTTCCTGGAGACCAAAACTTTATATTTATAAAGTCCGCACCGTGACTCAACCCTAAACGCCCCAACATCCCCCCATGGGACACCCCTTCTATGCTGCGACGGTCATTGTTCTGGGACAACCCTTCTATGCTGCGACGGTCATTGTTCTGGGACAACCCTTCTATGCTGCGACGGTCACTGTTCTGGGACATCCCTTCTATGCTGCGACGGTCACCATCTTGGGACATCCCTTCTATGCTGCGACGGTCACTGTTCTGGGACATCCCTTCTATGCTGCGACGGTCATTGTTCTGGGACATCCCTTCTATGCTGCGACGGTCACTGTTCTGGGACATCCCTTCTATGCTACGACGGTCACTGTTCGGGGACATCCCTTGTATGCTGCGACGGTCACCATCCTGGGACATCCCTTCTATGCTGCGACGGTCACCATCTTGGGACATCCCTTCTATGCTGCGACGGTCACCATCTTGGGACATCCCTTCTATGCTGCGACGGTCACTGTTCTGGGACATCCCTTCTATGCTACGACGGTCACTGTTCTGGGATATCCCTTCTATGCTGCGACGGTCACCATCCTGGGATATCCCTTCTATGCTGCGACGGTCACCATCCTGGGATATCCCTTCTATGCTACGACGGTCACTGTTCTGGGACCTCCTCCTCTGGGGCCCGGACTACCCACTCTTCAAGAAGGTCTGGGCAAATAATTGACAGGGATGGGGGCAGCTGGAGGCGGGGTGGTGTGTGGTGTAGGCCTTATCACACCTACCCACATAACTATGCCATTGTGTACCTAGCCATATACAGCCTCCATATACCTGTTAGAGTGCGTATATGGGTAATGAGTGACATACAGTTGGCCATACATGGTGGGAGAGGTGAGGAGAGAGAGGAGGAGGAGTACTATAGAGGCAAAAGAAGAAGGTATGGGAGAGAGAAAACTAGAGAAAGAGGGACTAAAATATGAATGCATGGGGTAAAAATATATTATATTATATTCAAAGTTAATTCGTATTCAGTGAGTGAGTTAATGCTTAATAATAGAGTTATATGGCAAGTTTTTTTCTCTGAATGCCCTGTGTTCCCTTCTCTGAAGCTGTGGGTCCCTATAATTACACCAGACGTGGTACCCCCCTTATATTATATATATATATATATATATATATATATATATATATATATATATATATATATATATATATATATATATATATATATATATGTCGTACCTAATAGCCAGAACGCACTTCTCAGCCTACTATTCAAGGCCCGATTTGCCTAATAAGCCAAGTTTTCATGAATTAATGTTTTTTCGTCTACCTAACCTACCTAACCTAACCTAACCTAGCTTTTTTTGGCTACCTAACCTAACCTTACCTATAAATATAGGTTAGGTTAGGTTAGGTAGGGTTGGTTAGGTTCGGTCATATATCTACGTTAATTTTAACTCCAATAAAAAAAATTGACCTCATACATAGAGAAAAGTGTTGCTTTATCATTTCATAAGAAGAAAATTATAGTAAATATATTAATTCAGGAAAACTTGGCTTATTAGGCAAATCGGGCCTTGAATAGTAGGCTGAGAAGTGAGTTCTGGCTACTAGGTACGACATATATATATATATATATATATTATTAAATATGACCGAAAAAGTAAGATTAATAATTCTAACACGAATTTTCTCAATCTTTCGTACATTACGCTTCACTGTTGGAGGTAAATCAAAAATTAATTCTCCAAAATTTTTGGAGAATTAATTTTTGATTTACCTCCCAACAGTGAAGCGTAATGTACGAAAGATTGAGAAAATTCGTGTTAGAATTATTAATCTTACTTTTTCGGTCATATTTAATAATATATGTCTACAGGAAAGACTGCTACCAAAATATACTAATATATATATATATATATATATATATATATATATATATATATATATATATATATATATATATATATATATATATATATATATTTATATATATTTATATGCAGAAAAATCACATGTAAAAAAAGAAAAAAAAGAAAAAAAGAGAATGCTCGAGGTTCCGGATATGGCATTACAAGGGGCAGGATACTTCCAAATACTATTAATACTACTATCCCTTTCTTCTTTTTCCATTATTATTATTTTTAATATGGACAGCCACCTTAAAAACCACCAACTCTGACACACTGACGTCAGAAAGCCCCTCTAATAATACAAGCAAGGCGGCCAAACATTCACCCTCCCCCGGACACCAGCAGTGATATACTCAGTAGATATAACAAATATATGTTGGTAGACCCTCTGGGTATTGCATATTAACTGAAATGGATGCACTCAAAGAATCTATCCAACCGTCATTAAATTCCAGAAAATATGGGAATTTTTTCCTCTATTTAACAAAATGTTTTGCACTTCAGATAACTTTTCTTGTATTAAATGACTAAAAGTACTTAAATATTTTACAGGTAAATAACTTTGAGGTTCATGTGTTTCCAAATCAAGAGCAAATGATTGTGCTGTTATTGAAGATTCATTATTTTGGTGGGTTCTACTGGTGGTTTGTTGACCATAACAGTACAGTGCATGCCATGCTGAGTTAGAGAGAGTGAGAGTTAGAGAGAGTTAGAGAGAGTGAGAGTTAGAGAGAGAGTTAGAGAGAGTGAGAGTTAGAGAGAGAGAGAGAGAGAGAGAGAGAGAGAGAGAGAGAGAGAGAGAGAGAGAGAGAGAGAGAGAGAGAGAGAGAGAGAGAGAGAGAGAGAGAGAGAGAGACAGTCAGACAGACAGAGACAGAGAGACTGAGAGAGAGAGAGTGAGAGAGACAGTGAGAGAGAGAGAGAGAGAGAGTGAGAGAGAGAGCCAAAGAGAGAGAGCCAGAGAGACAGAGTGAGAGAGACAGAGAGACAGACAGAGACAGAGCCAGAGTGCCAGAGTGAGAGAGACAGTGTTTGAGCGTGAGAACAGAGTGTAGCAGGGAAGCAGACGTCAACAGACAGACCCAGACTGTGGCCACACACACACACCCTGCACCCACCCACCCCTTGTGAAGCTGTTCAACCACTCGCCCCGAGGCTGCACTGGGAATTATCAGACGGGGCCGCTGTAAAGTACGCCCGATACAATCACACTGGGGTGGTGGAGGTTGAATCAATCACAGTGCCGCGGCGATAATACCGGTTTAAAATGTACAGTGATCTTGACGATATCTCTCTCCGGCGATCTAGTCATTATCGCAGACGATTTAAACAAACAAGCAGTCAAACACGCACATGGTGAATTGATTACATCTAGAAATATACTTTTTATCTATTCACAACTAATTGAATTCCTGACCAGACCAAGAGAGTACTAATTACTTGTGTAAATATATAATATATGTATTCATATATATATATATATATATATATATATATATATATATATATATATATATATATATATATATATACTTGATGCCAGCGTCATTGAACTTTGCTGAATTATAAATGATTTTATAGTGAGTGACAGGGGGTTCAGGGTCGTGCCAGTGCCCCCGATGAAAGGGGGTTACGCCCCATTGCTCCCACCCCTTGATGAAGTCTGCCAAGGTTATCTTGAAGTTATCTTGAGATGATTTCGGGGATTAGCGTCCCCGAGGCCCAGTCCTCGACCAGGCCTCCTTTTTGTTATACATCCCAAGGAAGCAGCTCGTAGCAGCTGTCTAGCTCCCAGGAACCTATTTACTGGGTAACAGGGGCATCAGGGTGAAAGAAACTCTGCCTATTTGTCTCCGCCTCCACCGGGGATCGAACCCGGGACCTCAGGACTACGAATTCGAAGCACTGTTCTCTCAACTGTCAGGCGCCCTTATGAACGTGAACGTATAATATTCTACTCAGAGTTCATAGATCTTTAGCATTTTCATAACAGATAACATATTTGTATTCTATGCCCAACTATTTATGATACAGTGTTAATTGTTTACAGGGAAAATTGTTTGAGTGCACTGGAGATTGTAGATAATGTATATTGTAGCTGTGTGTAGCGTTCAAGTTGAGGAACATTTAATTGATGCCTAATTAATAATAAATACGTAAATCTATAATACAAAGTAAAATACTAATAATTTTTTTTTTAGCAATATTTGTTTATAAGTTCCATATATAAATATATATATATATATATATATATATATATATATATATATATATATATATATATATATATATATATATATATATATATATATATATATATATATATATATATATATACATATATATTAAGCTTAATTTAAATCCAGTTTCGGTTATACTTGCAAATCCTTTTGCAACAGCAGTATTTAAGGAGTATAATTTATTGTCAAAGCCTCCTAATGGGCGAAGTGTTCCAGTTCCTTATAAAGTCTGAGGCTGAAAACAAAGGTAATTTATCAACAAAAACCAAACCAGCTTATCTTAACCTATAATTCCAAATACGTCAGAGTGGAGGCACATGCTGTGGCTCCTGGCTGATATGGTGTGGCTCCTGGCTGATATGGTGTGGCTCCTGGCTGATATGGTGTGGCTCCTGGCTGATATGGTGTGGCTCCTGGCTGATATGGTGTGGCTCCTGGCTGTTGATATGGCGTGGCTCCTGGCTGATATGGTGTGGCTCCTGGCTGATATGGTGTGGCTCCTAGCTGTTGATATGGTGTGGCTCCTGGCTGATGATATGGTGTGGCTCCTGGCTGATGATATGGTGTGGCTCCTGGCTGATATGGTGTGGCTCCTGGCTGATATGGTGTGGCTCCTGGCTGATATGGTGTGGCTCCTGGCTGATGATATGGTGTGGCTCCTGGCTGTTGATATGGTGTGGCTCCTGGCTGTTGATATGGTGTGGCTCCTGGCTGATATGGTGTGGCTCCTGGCTGTTGATATGGTGTGGCTCCTGGCTGATGATATGGTGTGGCTCCTGGCTGATGATATGGTGTGGCTCCTGGCTGATATGGTGTGGCTCCTGGCTGATATGGTGTGGCTCCTGGCTGATATGGTGTGGCTCCTGGCTGATGATATGGTGTGGCTCCTGGCTGTTGATATGGTGTGGCTCCTGGCTGTTGATATGGTGTGGCTCCTGGCTGATATGGTGTGGCTCCTGGCTGTTGATATGGTGTGGCTCCTGGCTGATATGGTGTGGCTCCTGGCTGATGATATGGTGTGGCTCCTGGCTGTTGATATGGTGTGGCTCCTGGCTGATATGGTGTGGCTCCTGGCTGATATGGTGTGGCTCCTGGCTGATATGGTGTGGCTCCTGGCTGTTGATATGGTGTGGCTCCTGGCTGATGATATGGTGTGGCTCCTGGCTGATGATATGGTGTGGCTCCTGGCTGATGATATGGTGTGGCTCCTGGCTGTTGATATGGTGTGGCTCCTGGCTGTTGATATGGTCTGGCTCCTGGCTGTTGATATGGTCTGGCTCCTGGCTGATGATATGGTGTGGCTCCTGGCTGATGATATGGTGTGGCTCCTGGCTGTTGATATGGTGTGGCTCCTGGCTGATGATATGGT